ACTGGAATTGTACTTCGTAGCTCTAATTGCTACGGTATGGTAGGTTCGTCTGTACTTATCCGGAGCTCTCGTATCGTGCAACGAACCATCGACATCTCGTAGTTGATGGCAACAATCTGCTTCGTGTTCGTTCGTCCAAACAATGTCGTGGTCACGATTGAAGACGACTTCCGGCACTAATAACGCAATCCAAAAATGCAAAAATGTCAAAATATTTACCGTACAGAGTTACTTCAAGATCGTTCGTTGGTCGCGTGAGAGAATGAGAAGAACACAACTTGTATTTGCATCACAATCACGATGACATCAACACATCGGAATTGTCGTATCGGCCATTTGAATGTACGGTGCGAGTAGAGTGTTTGTGCGTATCCAGAAAGGATTCCCCGAACCAATAAAATGGAAATGCTTAGTAATGAAGTAGATGCATCCACGACTAGCTAACCATAAAGCCATCAGTTACGAGTACAAACCCATGCAACAGAAAGATGGTCGCTAATTCTGATTCAATAACCGAGAGGATGCCATCGCCATCGAAGGATTTCAGAGCAGCACAGCCTTCGCAGCTTCCGATAGCAGAGGCAACAACGAAATCGACAGCTTCCGATGTTCTATCGTCGGTCGATAGCAATGGTCCGTCTGTCATGGCCGTGTCGAGATCTGGTTTGATGAAACAGTCTACAATCTATAGGCGCCATGAAGCCCGCTTGGCTCGGTCCTATGCTCTTCGGGATGACCCTCGCCCGGCCTTTCTCCGTGTGTTGTCTGGCTTGCCGGGATTTCGAATAATCATCCCCCCGTATCAAAAAGAGAGGAACCAAGAAGCCGGAAAGCAGGACCCAAAAAATCAACAAAAGGAAACTCACGCTCCAAGAACTGTTATAGACACATATTCCCAAGAAAATAGTTTTGCTCCTTATACCAACGTTGCTGACAACGCTGTCGGCTCGACTTTTGGAGATGCGAATACCAATGACAACATTCGTGCAGTGAAGTGGGAAGAAACGATGCAAGCCATGTTGGCAACGGGTGTTTGCTCTGCTATTGGAGAATACGTGTTTGCACATCACAGCAACATCTCGACAGCAAAACGGGCAGTCCGCAATTCCAATACGCTCGGGCCGATGATGATGACAACGACAACCGCAGCCCCCCAAACTCCCCATTCAATGCCTTACACTGGAGGTTTTGGCGCACTCAGAGGAGGTTCTCTTGACATGCCACGTGAAACGAACAAGAATCACAGAGCATTAGCTGCGACCAAGTCGAGACCCTCCAATGTTGCACTTTCGAAGGCCATGTCTGCTTCCTTTTCAACCTCCCTACTCTTCGGCACTAAGGTGTTCTTAGATGCTACGATTAGTGAGCGGCAATTTGGAAATGATGCGAATCGTTCCAATTCCACTAYTGTGATGGGTAGCCTTGTATCTTCAGCTACTGCTGGTGGAGTTATTGGGTTGAGTCAACTTGCCTCTTTGCAAATCAAACATCGACGAGATCCATCGTCTTTTTCTGTCGCTCAGAACCATTATCTTACCAGCGATGGTTCTTCAAAATTAATCGGACGAAATGTGCTGGCTTCTCTCCTTTATTTTTCGATTTACGAGGCTGTATCTTTCTTTGCGAGCACGCAAACAAGCACCAGCATCCATCCACGCGATTCCATTTCGTTGTCAAATGGCAAAGCCGGAGGGGAAAAGGGAACTCTAAGCATAGTCATGGGTGGCGCTTTCGCTGGAGTGGCACAGGCCGGGACCATGAATTACCATCGATACGCTCGGTATGGTAGCACGATATGGTGGACCCGGGTTATGTTTCCGGCTGCTTCGCKTTCGGCACCAATCCATGCATTGGTGTTTTACGGGTACGAAAAGATGAAGGAGGGCATTAAAACTGCACATCGATAATACCAAAAATTCTGAGTACAGATTTCATGCTCCTAAAGAGACTTTGGCGTTGGATGGGAATAAATCCCTCTAGCACAATTTCCCGGGAACACCATGAAAGAGGCACCGCATACCGTTGTACTATGAACAACAAAAATGAAAATATCTACTAGAACGCTATGAACGTGCGTTTTGTTCTGAGTACATTTCCGAACAGCAGCAGTGGGACAAATACAATAGATACATACTACATTTAAAGCATGATACTAATAGAAGCTACAAGAACGAAAATTGATCTGCCTTTGCCTTTTTCTCACCACTTGCAACAGCACCTCCGATCCACAACTAGTTCGCAAACCAAAACAAAAACCGGAGGTTGTAAAAGATTAAAGAAAAGAGTAAGGTCAAACCCAGGATCTTCTCTTCAAAAAAGTGGGATCGTTCGTTATTCGAACCTGCCGTGCGGGCAAGGGCCCTTACGTATGGGTAGTCATCAATGTGTATGAATACCTCCTCGATCCTCTACCGGTAGGCAAGTGTGACATCCCGTACTAATGGGTGAGAGTTGCTACATTCAGTACAAGACAAGGGGACCCTCCGCTAAACTAYGGTAATCCCTTGGGCGGGACCTACTTTTCAAAACATGTGACGTCATGCAATACGTAGGATGCTTTCTGTTGCTCGACAAGACTAAAGTGTGAAACTGAAGTTTGGTTTTCAGTAAACAAATCACTTAATTTAGGGTGTTCCTTTTAAACAGAGAAAACTCAGTCACACTCGCAAAAAATCAATTCAATACGGCGCTTCTTTTTTGGAGCGATTTCATGTGGGTCTTACGATTTAGAGTTTAATTTAGTTCCCTCGATCTTTTGAATGGTTCGGAATACTTGAAATTTCAAATTCGCGCCTGCACGCTTGGATTCCGACCAGTCGTCGAACTTTGAACACGATCACATCTAATAACTCTAATCACACATTGGCGCGCTCTGGTTTTTTGAAAATATCCCGTAAATGTGATTTGACAGTTGAATGATAGCAATCGGCTCTTGTAAGCAAATCGAACGAGTTGGTGATCCTCCTGCAGATGCCTGAATATGGGAGGGAGATAGCTGCTGAAAGGTTCTACTCATGCTCGTGCTCGCGCTGTACAATCCTATCTTCAGACTGCGGAACGACTAAGTACCATACTCTAATAAGGGATACACCAAGTTCKAAACCTCTCGTCTTCCACTCTCTCTGATGGACTACAATTTTCCATAAAGATTCCTCGCAAATAGACTCTTTATTCAAGATCTAGTGTCTATTCTGTGCAATACATCGAAGGCTAGAACACTGTTCGAGACAGAGAGAATCATATTCCTCAGTTCACAATGGCGAATCCATTTATCAATTCTTCTTTCACATTGCGTCCATCGATGAATAATAGGGACATCCCAGAGTTGACACTTCGCCAGACCGAGGTCTCCAGAATCCCAATGGAGAGAACCGAAACGAAGGAAGGAAGGTCATTCAAACGCCAACGGTTATTTATGGATCGCTTCATGTCTACAGCGTTTCCCTTCGGTTATCGCTACAGTTGCAACGATGTTGATTATAGCTACGATGACCAGTACCTTTCAGACGAAGAAAATGGCGTTCCATTAACAACACGGCGGAGAGTCTCGAGTAGACTTACCTCTTGTCGTAGGATAAGTGATATAAGCATCGGTAGCAGCAGTAATGGTATGAACATCAGCGAAGCTGATTATTGGAAGACCCGCTGCCTTGATGTGCAAGATACGTTTGAGAATGCACAAGCTCGCTTGAGAGAAGCGGAAGAGGACCAGAGACAGTTGCGACAGCGAGTTCGCGAACTTGAGGAGCAGCTCTTGCTCCAATCGTCATCAGGAAACAGTAACAGCAATGGTGGGATTGGAAATGAAGATTATGAGGCTGGCAACACGGAAGAAACTTTCGAAACAAGGGATAGGGACGCTAGCAGTAATATAGAGGGGAAGAACAATAGAATCGCACCGAAACATTTGGGGAAAGATGATGGACAATGTGCCGAGGATACAGGTCGGAAAAATAAGAAGGAACGACCACTCCCTGCCCTAGTAGTTGAGATCAAGGAGAATCACCAGGCAGTCTCGTCCTGTTTTTACTTGACAGACGGGGAAGGATTGAACGAGTCCTATGATCAAGAGATGGAAGACGTTTCAATGGATGTTTATTGCGGCGACCAGATGCTTGGTGATATCGATGACGATCGTAACGACATAAATTTTAACCAGCAGCGTGGGTGAAAGTAAAAATCATAGCGAATACTGTCTGTATACTAAAAAACCTTCTAAAGCAAGATCGGTTTCGAAATGAAATGTGAATTTGATGCATATATTTTAAATTGTAAAACAGACATTTTCGCCCCATCTATTTCCTTGCTTTTCGTTCTGTTTTGATTTTCCGGTAGGCATCTGTTATCAGCTTAGAGCGTTCTGTCGAACGCCGTTTCTGCGCTTCTGTAGCGTTGGGTTGTGTATCAGGATGGTATTGCAGCATTTCTTTCCGAAAGGCATTCGATACCTCGGTGTTCGTAGCGTTGCGATCGATTCCAAGCACCGAGTAGGGATCAGAAGGATTGAATGGCCACTTATACTCGTCTTTCTTCGTTGATTTCGCTCGTTGTTGCTTTTGTTGCTCCTGTTGATAGTATTGCTGATACCTTTGCTGATTTTCGTGCGATCTTGCCTGCTGTGCTTTTTCCTGCTGCTCCCATTGCTGTTTCGCCCAGGCTAAATACAGGAGATGGAAAAATAGATAAAATTCACAGCAGATACCAAAGATAATTCTAGCGTGAGAGGACCGCATTCTTGAGGATCATCATGTACTTGCTCTTGATACCACCAGCAAGAACGTTTTCTACAGTCGGCTATTCCCACGTACCTTGCCAATCAGAATACCAATCAAAATCCCCTTCTTCGTGCGTCGTATCACCAGACAGGGATCGAAGAATCGATTCCCTATTTTTGTTGAAAAACTTGCGAGCCCTGCCTGTGGCATCGTAAAAGTCGTTCATCTTTGCTTTGCTGAAAGCATCGTGCTCGTCCTCGGCCATCTCTGCCTCGTGCTGCCGCTGTCGTTCCCAATCCGCGCTCGCTTTTCTGTTGTCCATCCAAGGTTGAAGAACTTTTCTAAAACCCGCAAACAGTCCTCCCGCAACGCCGACGATCGGTGTTGCTGTCCACAGTCGAATCAGCGCGAACCACAAGATGCTGAATATGGGCCGGAATACCGTAACCAGGACTGGCAGGCTGAAAGTCTTCAGGAGGTGCGAAGCCCCGCTGGAGAGTTGTACCAACAACTTTCGGGAGGAGCGGTGAAACTCGGGGGAGAGACCGTCGATGATGGTGTTGCCCTCGAAAATCTGGTGAGAGACACCTCCGACGGGCGCACTGGTATCGCATCCGGAAACAAAGGCTTGGTATTCTAGACCAAAAATTGTGTACTCAATCACAAAGGTAGGCATCAATATCCTTCTGGAACCCACTACTTCAGTCTGCACCTCTGGCGGTGGTGTATCTCCAAAATCCAGGCCGCTTTGTTTCCAATCTTCGTCTGCAATCCCCTGAAGCTCTTCCTTAACCACCGAAAAAGCCCTTCCTTGGGTGCTGTTCCAGGCATCTGGAATGACGGGGATGGGATATCCACTTTCTTTCAAAACCATATTCTTCAACATCCATGACCCAAATGGTTGCGTTTGGTCCTCCATGAATATCAATGTCGTCGAGTGGACTGGGTTGATCAAACTTCGACGGTATGAGTATCCTGCATAGGCAGCGAGGCCACCAGGTAAATGAATCACGTCCTGGTTGTTCCGCGAACCTACTCGATCGTACCCTTCAAAAATGGAGGGCTTCCATGAATAAGGGGGTGATGGCGATGATCTTCTGTCTCTTGCACGCTGCTGCTTGAACCGAATATTCAAATCAAATGTCCATACTGGCACAAAGGCAGCACCAATTTTCACCGAATTGTAATTCATAATGTATCGCAAACCTTGATCTTCCTCCGCCCATTTCCTGAAGGATTGGAGGGCTTCTTCTGGTGAAATGGAGAATGGCAGAGCTCGTAGATTGAACCGTTTGTTCGATTTACTGCTGCTCCTGCTCRACGACGAAAAGCGTCTAGGGCCCTGACATCTACAACCGACGTCGTGATTGTTGACAGCGAGGGGCATTCTGTCCACGCCGTGGCCGGCTAAAATAGAACTAGTTCTTTTCTTTGATGCAATCGTCGACGAGAGCGATCGCGCATTTCGAGAAATCTTCTTGCTTCCAGCAGATTCGAGAAACCCCAGCGCTGTACCAACTGGTGATCGCACGAACGGAGGCCAAATACTCCTCCCGTTTCCGAAAACGCGACGAGTAATGGCTGCGGGCTTTCCCATGGCAGCTCTCATCGAATAAGAACGACGCGTGCAGTAGGAGAGTTTCGATTTTATTCTTCTTCCTGTTCCAAAGCCATTCGTTTACAACTTGTCAACTGAATACTGCTATGTGCTTCGTATGACACGCTCGTCCCGCTCGGAGACAGTGGTGAAGTGGTTCCCTGTCATCTCCCTCACGAAAGATACTTCTCGATTTTAAATTTGTAGTCCTTGTCCCTGCTTCTGTTTTCGGTGAACTACGAAGCTCCCCAATATTCAGATTTTAGTGCTGCTCTTTTTTGGGCTGTAACCAGTACTACTACTASTAGTAGTAGTASTACTACTAGCAGTACTATTATTATGATATCAACAGCAACAGTACTACTAGTACTAGAAGCAATACATGCTAGAAAAAATATCTGAATCACCAATCAATGGAATCATTCTGGCTGTTTGTTGCTTCTTAAACATGATTGCAATTCATTGATTTCTTGTTGTCTACTACTAGTAGTAGTAGTACTAGTACTATGTTGGGCATTGTTGTTGTTCTTGTTGTCTGCATATTTGTTGTTGTTTTTTGCAAGACAAAACAAGATGAGAAACAAGAAGACAACAACAGCAGTACTAATRGTAGTATGTACTACAAGTAATACTAGTGAAAACACCAGAGGAGGACTAGTACCACCAGAAATTCTAACTGCTGTTGAAAGGAGGAAGGCAGCACAAAATAAGAAATCAAATTGCTTCTYGTTCTTCCTTGTGTGGTGGTAAGACCACCAGCAGGTGGTTGAAACCATAATCACACTATTTTCCAAAGGTCTTCCCTGCCTACTACTACTATATTTGCTGTGAACAGTTCTGCTTCTTGTTGCATTAACAGCAATACTTATCTGGAGTTGAGTTAAGTATCCTTGGTGGAGCTTCTACTAATTGCATCCTTCTCCTTCTTCATCCTACTATGTGATGTACCTACTAGTACTAGTACTAGTCCAGAGAGGTAATAGTTGGGCCTTCCTTATGTTTCCTTTCTTAGTCTCCAAGAAGAAGGTACTAAATTATGATAAAAGTTAAAGTGATCCCTTCTGTGGAGTCACCTCCTYCTTCTTCAAGAACCACCACCTCTAGTAGTATCTACATCATGTCAAACAAAATATCTCCTTATTGTTCTAGTGCCAATCTGCAGTTTTAGGTTGAAGATTTCACTATAAGAGGAGTGTAAAATAGCAATCTGACATTTCTCTTTTTTGAATGTGTTATTTTTGAGAATCTCAGAAAATATGCCATGGTATCTACATTGCTGTAGGTTACACGAGCAATATCCTCCTCTAGGAATTGTGTCCCAAGGGTTTACAAGTCAAGATTCATGGTTTGAACATGCTCTTCTTTCAACCCATTTGTTCTTTGATTGTTCTTCAATCATCAAAAAGCTTCTTCCCCCATATTTTATCATCTTCAAACCTTTGGTTTGTTGTTTAAGTTCAATAAATATTTTTTTTCAAATTTTTTTTTTTAACAAGATGGATTCTCCTCTCACTGGTTCTAGTTGATTGAAGTCATCCCTAAACATAATCCAGGGTATAACATACTAGTAACAAGTTGAGATACTTTGTGCTCCATGTTCTCAACTGGTTGACGATGCCAGCTAGCAAATGATGCCTCATAAACAATGAGAAGACTACTAGTCTCACTTTCCYATGCATCATCCTGTGTAACACTGGTTTTGTAGCAATTTAGATGGCTAGTACTAGCACTATCATGTGTTGTCTTCCTATTTATGTTAACTGCTGCTGGTCCTTTCATTCCCGCGTTGGAAAAGTTCACCAACCCCAATTCTTTGAAGAGCATCTTTGAGTAGTAATACTGACTACTGTGAATTACCTTTAATTTTTTGATTCAATCAGTCCCTGAGAGAAAACATATGAACTGGTTTTCATTGCTTTTCATAGCTGCTTGAGATCTTGCATATATTTTTTTAGCAATCACCAGTCTTCCCCCAGAGTCTCTTTTCTGTATTCAACTTTGCATAGTGTCCTCATCTATTTTTTCAAACCTTCTTCAACCAGTACAACATGTAGTTTTTTGCATCATAGGTCTCTTGTTGGATAGCTGCATCAAAACTTTTATGTGGAATTTGACAAAACAGAAAMTTCTATGTGGCTTTACATTTTAGATGAGATTTTTTMTGTCATCTGCAGATAGAACCTGTGATATATGAAGCTGAAAAGTTGTCACCAAGTGTAATTGTACTTGAATCTACTAGTGGTACTTTGGATGGTTTCAAAAGTGTTMTTCCATATTTTTATGAACCTTGGTAAAAAAATTAATATTATATTTCAGATTGTGAAACAATAGAGATACTAAGATGGACAGATCCATGAATCTGTGAGATGTATACTCCCAGTCACTCTTAGGGGTGGTACCTCCCTCCAAAGGGTGTTGGTGAAGAAGGCTCAGCCCTTTGTATGAACCTTGATACAGGGTAATTGAAGTGCCAAGTTGCAGCTTTTTCTTTTACTATTGTCTGTCTCCTGTAAACTGAATCTGACCTGGTAGATTGTGTATTATGCTGTCTAAGCTGTCAACAAAATCTTCCTAAAGTTCATCAAAGAAAATAATAAGACTACTAACAACACCGCCATCATTACTAGTTTGAGAGCAGCACCCACTGCTCAAAGAACTTGGGAAAGAACTTGTTCTAGTAGGTGATTTTTGAAGCACTTTTTTTGGCATGGTAAAAATCTGATTCCTTYAGGTCATCAACATTGTCATCTTTGTAGATATTATTTTTTCTCTCAATCATTGTATTGCAGCTTTGCTTTGTTGATGTTGACTTCAGTATGTTTGAGTAGTACAAGAAAGCAATGCTTGCTGCTATCACTAGTAAAAGTCCCCACAAATACCAGTTACATAGACTTCATTATATTTCTTTGCCAAAGATTACCCTCAGATTGGCCAGCATATAATTCTTCAACTGAGCTTTTGCTTCTTCTTTAGAGGAGGAGAGATTGCAATTCATGCTGGCGTTGCAGTCCTYATTACTCTGATTGTTTCTTCAGTACTATCACTGCTGTCAAAGGGAGTATGAATACCTTGGATGCTTTTTTGCACACTTGCTGTGTAAGAATAGACATGATCTTTATTAACCCTTGTTGGTTTTAGTAAAATAAGAGCAAGTTCTACTTGTACTTCTATTTACTTTGTACAACAACAAGCTGTCAATTGTCCATTTGTATTTGCAACAAAGAAGAAAGGTGGTGGTTTACCACCTTAGTATTGGCTCAGTATTAGTAATACTGAGGAAAGCATACTAATGGTGAGAAAGAAGTTGCTAGCATCTTTTACATTCTAGCTAACCATACTTGTTCTGGATACTCACTTTTCTTCTAGCACTTGATTTACAGCATCGATATTAGATAGTCACTCCCACAAAGTTTGCAGTACTGTTAGTGAAGTCACTAGTGCTAGTAGAGACATTACTAGTGACATCAATGTTACTACTATGCAAAAACCATAATTTGTTTTGCTCTAGTCTAATGTTTTCTCACTTCAGTTGATAGTTGTGTGGCTGATGACTGAATTTATCAACTCTTGGGAATGGGATTCCTCTCTTTCATCTGAAAATAAGTGGTTCAACTTTCAAATGATACATCACAACAATGACTGCTGGTGAAAATTGTCCAAGTCTTGGGAGAAAGTTTTGGAATGACCAATCAACTGAATATTCAAGCACTTGGAGGGATTGGTTCTCTTTAATATCAGAATGATTGCTGATCACAATTATGACAGAGCACTCTTCTTTGGCAAGTCTTGGAAGGAATTAGGTTCTCTGAAAATTTGGAATGATTCTGGTGTGTACCATACCATCGGTGGAGCAACCAATCCTCTGCCATGCGTTGCGATGGCGCACTGGTTTGTGCCACGCCCAAAACAGTTTTCGTTGACGGGGGAGCTGYCAGCTGGTTCGAGAARCRTTCCAGGCCATAGACCTCGCAKATGTATTTACAAGAGAACACCAACCAAACGGCAGATCAAACCACCAACTCTTTTGCAAATCGCATCGCATAGCATCGCATCGCATCGCACTGCTCTGCTCTGCTCTGCTCGCTGCGGGTTCGATGSTTCCCCAAGAGCTTCGTCGGTGCATCTCGCCTCATCACGTCWCGTCTCGTCTCGCCTCCCCTCGCCCCACTTCGCTCCGGCTCGTTGGCCTATACCATGGACTCCCGCCGCTCCCGGCGGACCGACAAGAACTCCTCCGCCGTGTCCCTCACCGCACCAAAGCCCCAGTGCAAGCCGTCCCAGGCCTTCCCGATCGTGTCGATGGGGTGGGCGATCTTGTCCAGGGCCATCCCCCCCAGGTCCAGGGCCACGGGTCCGAGGCCCCCGCGGCGCTCGATCTGCCTCGCGGCCACCCTGAGGCCCTGCCTCCCCACGAGCCTTCCCGTCGCCACCGAGAGCCTCCCCGCCTGGTAGGCCTGCGCCGCGCCGTGCTCGAGGGCCGAGATCCAGGGGCCGTCCTTGAAGCGGTCGTAGGCCTCCTGGACGGCCCCGTCGATCAGGGCCACGGAGGTTCCGAGGAGGGCCGTGGAAAGGGCCACCGGCCAGAGCGTCAGCCCCAGGGCCACGGCCAGGAAGGGACGCCTGGTGGCTTCCTCCCTGGTCCAGGCCATGGCCGTGTCGACGCCCGGGCCCAGGGCCGGCCACAGGACCCGCATGCGGCGGTGCGCGTGCCTCCGGGATTCTCGTGTCCGGCCTGCCCGGTGCTCCTCCCGTGGCTCTGCTCCGCCGTCGCCGTCGCTGCCTCCGTCGGTGCCTCCGTCGCCGTCCGGCAATTCTTCGATGAAAACACCCGAGGCGATGGGTTCTCCGCAGCGCCCTCGGTCGTCGCCTCGGTCGAGGTTTTCCACCAGGTTTGAGTRGAAGCTCTCCAGGGAGAGGAGGAAGAGCCGGGCCGTGATCAGGGCGGCATCGGCAATCTCTTCGGCTTCCTCGTCCCCGATCTCCCGAAAGGAGGTTTCCATGTCTCGCAGGAGCGTCGACGCCCCCGACAGAGCCCGGAGAACCTCGTCCCTCTCGTTGCCAACCACGAAATCATAATCATCGCTTGCACTCGCAGGATTCCCCGCGTGAATTTCCGCCTCGGCCCCCCCGCCTTGCGCCCCGAGCAGTGCCTCGTCGCAGAGCCGGAGGTCGTGGCCGATGGCGTCCGCCAGCCGGTTTCGTTCCTCCGGGGATTGCCCCTCCAGTTCCGCTGCCAGCGAGGCCAGTCCGTCCGCAATCTCGTTGCACTTTCGGAGAATCGCCGAGGGGAGCAAGGCCCGATCGGTCTCCAGGCACCGGAGCGTCTCGTCGGCCCCCTCCAGAACCCCTCCCACGGCGTCGGAGAGGAGCCTCAGGTCTTCTTCCTTGATCACGAGCGCCGTGGTTCCCGTTCCCGTTCCCGTACCCGCTGGCGATGCTATTGCTGCCGGGGGAGAAGAGAGAGAAAGAACCCCCACTCTCCTCTCTCCCAAACCAACTCCTCTCCGGTGTTCCTGCGGCGAGGAGCTGCTTCGGTTGCCATCGAAACCCAGAGAAGACAGAGGATGCCCCGCGACTTCCAGAGACAATCGAGGGGATAAATCGCTGTGTTCGGTCCGCATCATTGTCTCCCGTCGCTATCGGATGCGTTTTGGTTTTGCTTGTCAATTGTCAATGAGTGGTACAAGCAGGGCAACGCAGTCGGCTTCTGTTGGATGATGGACGGTTCCTTCACCGTGCCACAACAAAGGAGAAGAAGATGTGTATCGTACGAATACTGATGCTACGTACCCGTACGTACCCGTACGTACCCGATCTTCTACAGTACTGCGTACCAGTAGCTACTGTAATGAATTGCGCGAATTAAAACCACGATCGCGAATTACTGTATGTATATGTACTGTAGCATTGGTTCGTTTGGAAGACTTTAGATTAGACACTAATAGCAGATTTATTTTATTGAGCAATTTTTGGMACAGWTTCAGTGCCCGGTTAGCTCAGTAGGCAGAGCGTTCGTCTCATAATCCAAACAAACCGAGCAAGCGAAAGGCCGTCAGTTCGATCCTGACATTGGGCACTTCATTTTGTTCCGGCAGATCCCAACCTTTTGCACTTCAGAAGGTATGTTTCCTGCTCTTCTTTCTCTCAACAACTAAAAAACGTGACAACGATTCATTAATATCATGTCAAAAAAGAGCAGAGTTTAGTAAATAGTACTAGTTGATTGTTGTTGGTGATTTCGTCCCCTCCTCCTAGTAGTAGTAGTACTACTACTAGTAATAGAACTAGTACTACTAGTAGTAGTAACTGCAATGCATTTTGTTGATTTGTTTTGCTGCTAGAATTGTTTTGGATAACTACTACTAGTGGTACTGGAGCAACAGCTGCTGACTGGCTGATTAGTATGCTTCTAATGGAACTTGTTCTTCCACCATTCATACTACTAGAACCAGCATTCCTGGTGATGAATGTCACCGGATGAAGAATGTTACCAAAGTCAAGTAGACACARGAACAACAACAAGGAATACTAGTATTGCTTCCTTTGCCACTAAAACAATAGCAAAGTCACCATGGACAGCTGGTTCAGCAAGTGGGGGTKCTCAAGAAATTTCCAGCTCCAAGAATGGCAGGAGTGGATCTGCAACAAGAAACTCAGATGATGCAGCTTCAGCGCAGAGTATCATGGTTTTTGCTCCCAGCAACAATGCCTCAGAGGGTGGTGGAGTTTACAACCTCAACATTTCTGGATCAAGTGTGCCAGTTGGTTCAAAGCCAAGAGTCACCAAATTTGGTCCTCTGCTTGGACAAGCTGTAACTAATCTAATGGTGTACAACAAAGAAGAACAACAACAAGAAGTTCATGACGAATGGCTTCTTCTTGCTGCTTCTTCCTGGAAACCTTCTTGTTGTTGGTGACTGCATTCAATTTTTGAATGTGGAGAGGAGCAAGTCTCAGGAGGAGCTCAAGGATTTGATTGAACCAAAATATTTTAGCTGGCTCGCTCATTTTCTTGTTGTGAAGTGCATCAGCACTCAAGCAAACTACTACTGTTCATTGTTGTACCTACTACTAGTAGTAAGCTTTTTAGACAATCTTGGCAAGTACGGCAAGGGACTTTCGGGATTTGGTCATCGATCGCCTTCTTGCCGGAACTCGTGTTCTGGCGGAACCTCAACYGCAGCAAATGGCGGAAGCTCATCCATGTAATCCAGGAATGCAGCACTGTATTGGTACCGGTTAAGTGGCTTAGATGGAGGTGGAATCCTGAAGTGGTTGTGGTGGAGGAGCTCCTTAAGTGTTTCACCCAGAGCGACAATCTTGTCCGTGTCGGTTAATGCGGTCGTATGTATGACACTGAGGARGGATGTATAGTTAATTTGAGTAGGTGGGTATCGTGGTTTAAAGGGGAAAAGGTTCTTATCATAGATGGTAGGGTCCGATTGTTTTGGAAAGACCAGCTGTAGTGCTCTGATTTCCCTTTGGATGTTGCCGTCATATCCACTGAGTTTCAATTTGGGGTTTGTCGGGGGTCTCGAGGGTRTTCTTACCAGGAATCGTCCTATCTGTGACTTTGCAGGGCGACGAGAGGAGCCCTTGTTGCCAGTCTTTCGTTTAGGAGTTGAATTTGGCATTGTTGTTTGATACTAGTACTCTTATCAAGAAGTGTTCTCTAATGATGATAACAAGCTGTTGTTTTGTGTGCAAGGATCGAGTGAAACGGTGCAGGGTTCTGGTTCGTGTTGGTGTGCTGACACCAGGGTTCRGGGATCCGTAGGGCRGTACGTGGTTCAGTACTGGTTCTCCTGTCGAAAATATCGAATCAGGACGGAACGACCCCCCGAATGTTGTTGTGATCCGGAATGCACATGGGAGTGCTTCAGGGACTGTATTGGGCCACCGGAATGGGCCGAAATGAAGATCTTTGTGGAGGGGAAGGCTGATGAGCAGTGGAGGTAGGTCTGTTGTTGCTCATAACCTGCAAAATGTACGTGTGCTCTTTAGTGCCGTATAACTACGTGTTTACAATAAAGAGTGAGCTTATTCACTATTGACTCGTGATTTGGGCTCACAGGCGGAACACAAGCTACTAACCGACGGTAACGATAACAGGAGGTCACGGCCGCGAAAATTCACCCTGGGCCACGCAAGCAGCGACGGGATGATTAGCTCAGTTGGTAGAGCGTGCGACTGTTAATCGCAAGGCCATGAGTTCGATCCTCATATCGTCCGAGTTGTTTGTGCCGAATTAGCTCAGWTGGTAGAGCGCACGACTCTTAATCGTGTGGTCGAGGGTTCGATCCCCTCATTCGGTGTGAGGACTATGTCCTACGACATTGTGGCCGAGCGGTCTAAGGCGCAACGTTAAGGCCGTTGTCTTAATTGGCGGGGGTTCGAATCCCCTCGATGTCACCTTTTTTGGATCTTTTGATGGGCACTTCCCGTCATTTGTCAATCAACCGTCAAGAAAACGAATAATTCAATTCAATAATGATACTCGTCCCCCGGAACTTTTTTGTCAGAGGCTTAACTACCATATGTACCTAATCCTTGTATTTCTGTTTTTTTCCTTTCGAGATACAGTCCTTTATGGATACAGACTACAAATCAGTTGATACTGTGCCGTACGAGTATCATCCAAGCGAGATATGCACACGTCCTGCTAGCGCTGTGATCCACGAGGCTACGCCAACGAAAACATTTGAGACAAAATTGTCGCAATGCCGGACGACGAAGAGAAAGCAGGCGCCGACGCTTCTTTGTCGGCTGCCGCCGAGGATCCCCGAAAACACAGGATAAAAAACGCAAGTATTTTCAACTTTGTGTATCCAAAGCACGTTACCGACAAGTACAAGCTCCTCGACGCTATTGGTCGAGGGACTTTCGGGTTGGTGCGCAAGTGCCAACTCATCGAAACGGGAGAAGAGTTTGCGCTGAAGGCGATTCTGAAAAAGAAGGTACCCGACGTCGAGTTGCTCAAAACAGAGATCACCATTTTGTTAGAAGTCGACCACCCGCACATCATCAAGCTTTACGACGTGTACGAAGACATCGACAATGTTTACCTTGTAACGGAGCTCTGCACCGGCGGTGAGCTCTACGACCGGGTTGTTGAAAAAACCAACTCTCCGGAGGGACACTTTAGCGAGTTTTGTGCGGCCAGGATTATCAGGAACATTTTGTCGGGGATTCGGTACTGTCACGAAGAGAAGGATATAGTTCACAGAGATTTGGTAGGTCGATCAATCTTGCTGATTTCTGGATTGTCGAAACAACAGACATCCAACCGTCGCATGTGTGGGCTCGAAAAAAAAGAAAACGAATACAAAACCAGGGACAAAAACAAAAACTGCATGCCGTACCCAGCCATATCCAATGCTATTGTGAAGTTGTGAATATCGCAAACCGATTAACCTCACGTGTTCATGCGACTGATATTTTCTTTCTGATGTTCGCAGAAACCAGAAAACTTTTTGCTCACGGACAGCACCGATGATGCAAAGGTAAAGGTAAGATTGACCACTCCCACCACCCATTTGAAAAAGAATGATGCAAACGTCGAAGTAATTGCAGCAATCTTACATCACAAATCCTTTCTTTATCCTGAAATATACTTACCTCATAGATTATTGATTTCGGGTGAGTCAATTTGGGTTGATACTTTTTTGAGAAATTCTTCCTTTGCCAATGCATTTAAATTCATCGTGTACTAACAAGCGATTGATGAATGATAGGTTGAGTACGCACGCAAAAATATCATCAGTAATGCACGATCAAGTTGGAACGATCTATTATGTGGCACCTGAGGTTCTCTCCGGAGTGAGTTTGACATCGTAGTTGAAGTCCCTTTGAATTACATTGTGACTCATTTTATTCGGTCCATCGTTTAATGATTTACAGAGCTACAACGAGAAGGCTGATATCTGGTCAATAGGAGTCGTAGCTTACGTAATGCTCTGCGGATACCCTCCCTTCAACGGTGGTACTGAATTCCTCACTTGGGATCTGGTGAAAGCCGGTGATGTAATCTTCCCTTCTGCCTCCTGGGATCACATATCCGAGGAAGCAATATGTTTCATCAAACGACTATTGGAGTTCAACCCCGACAAACGACCATCCGCATCCGAAGCCCTGCAAGATCCCTGGTTAAACCAGAAAAAGGTGCAGCCACTCGGACTTGCCTGGGCGTCTAGCTTCATCCCGAAATTGTCTCGCCTCGCATCTGACGTCGAAGATGCACGCGACGTGAAGCATCTGGATCACGAGAAAAAATCTATATTCGCCGGATTTTTAATGAAACGCAAAAGTGAGTTGGTACACAGCTCATTATTCTTGTTTGAATTCAGAAAAAAATCTGAGTTGAATATCGACGCTGAACTCGTGTTTTTTGCCATTATTGTCATTCTGTCCTACAGGCGAAAAAGAACTTTGTTAGGCAGGGGTGTAGATTTTGATGATTTGCTCTCTACTCCTTGTTATTCCTATTCCAATTAAATAACACTCACGAGCTCGTTCTGTAGCTGCATTGAATTGTAAATGCTGCGATGTGACGGYACTTGAATTAAATCTTTTCTAGTTAGAGCGCAATCCTACTAATTATTTCTTTTACGAATGTAACGTCATTTAGCGTTTGATAAAAATTCCAGAGTCAGACTCCCTGGCACAACTTTGTTTGATTTCATCGCACACAATAGTCATAAACGATGACCTCTCCTCTGAAAGAACGCAAAATGTCGTTTTATCGATTCCTGAAGATTCGATAGCTACAAGGATCTGTTTTAGAACGCTTCCATTCTCTTTGGAATCACAGACTTGAAGACACAGCATGAGAAGTTGTTCGACACACTGCTCCAGTGATGATGTAAGTAGAGTCAAGTATTCCAATTCAAGTTCGATGTTCCCGGAGTTGTCGTCGGTATCCATGGAGTGTACGCTATGGGTCGATTTCAAGCGAACATACTCAAGTCGGTCACCAACAGTCTTAGCGGCGATAACACAGCGAAATAGACCCCGGGCAAGCGATGAACCGTTGAGAAGATCAGATCTTTCCGTGCGCCGTAATAGCTGTAAACCCAAAGATAAAGTGTCTGCCGCAACAATACTGTACTCAAATGTGTCTTCGCTCCAATTTTCAGATTGCATTGACATCATGACTTGATTGCCCATTGGTGCCAGAAATTTATAGGAAATCTTGTCGTCGCCAACCCTATTGACCAAAATCGTTTTAAGCACATCCCACCAAGTAGCCGAATTATCTTTTTCGACACTGACTATTCTAGAACCAACCGATTCCTGTCGATTCCTTAGCTCCCTCGGCAAATGATCGGGAAACATATTGTTTGGTAGAGGATTTTCCGAGAGGTGCTCCAACAGCATTCCGATACCAAGGAATTGGGCAGCAGTAATGGTTTCCTTCACGTCGAGGCCCAACTTTTCGAGATGATTTTTYTTCTTCAAGGGTTTGACGAGGGAAGACGCCGATACCAAGGCTTTCAAAAACCAACGCAAGAAGTCTGCCTGGACAGGGAAATTGTAGCACAATCTTTGAATGGTCGATTCGTAAGCGCTAATAATTTGAATGCAATTTGTAGCGAAATTCATTGCTAAATCTTCCGAAAGGTCTGATGTAGCTAGGAGGGCACAAATCAGCTTCAGATGACCCAGAAGAAACCCCGGARTACGGATTGTGGCTTTGGAGAAACCAGAAGAGGTTTTCTCGAGATCCCGAATCACACTATTTTCCTGTTCCGCGTATTGTCTTGCGGCACACATAAGTGCTCTGTCTATACCTGTGTCGATTAGAAGCTTGGCTCCAGTCGCTTGCAATGCTATAGCTTGAAGGAAGTTGCAAATGTCTTCGTCCAAATCAGCAACAAGCGAGATCGAACGTTCCAGGAATAGCTGCGGAATACAAGAACAAACGCAAGACATTCCAACGATCGATTCGTTTTCGATCGGGCTCAGGGCAAGAACTATCGATGCCAAACAGCCCCGGGCCAGCACAGATACTATTCCGTGCGAGTCGTCTTTGCTGGAATCGACTTTGAACCCGGAGATTCTAGAAAGCCCGTGAGCGGCCCCAATGAAATCGTCCCTGTACTGCGCGGCAAACCCGGGCTCGAGCGATGCCGACGAACGCAGCAAAAGTGCCAGTGCACTGCCCAGTGCTGCCGTCCTTTCGTAGCGAAAGGCAGCTTCTTCTGCCGTGTCATTGCCGATTGAAGAAGCCGGAATAATGCGTGCGACTAGAGCGGCCAGTTGAAGAAGATCGCAACCGACAGGGTCTCCGTTTTGAGGTGATGTAAYGAACTCCGAGAGAGTCAAAACGACGTTGCTTAGATTTCTTGTAGCCACAGGAATCAGAAAGCAATCCATTCCCTGATGATCACTCGAYTCAGAAATTTCGTCGAGGCGCAGCAGAAAATTCACCAACAAGTCTCGGGGCCCGTTCGAACGCAACCACGAATCACTGAAATCCGAGGATTCCAAGAGCGACGTGTGGTATTGAGACATGGCCTCTGCGCAGTACAGCGATGCATCGACCAAAACGCTAATGGCGTTTGTTACGTGAGAAACAGCGCAGTTCCGGTTTGCGATAAAGTTGTATTCCTCTATCCATTTCGTGGCGGCCTCGCTATCCATCGCCTGCGATGCTCCCTTCATTTTGGATGCCACTATATTGCTATCCAGGATTTGATAGCCCTGGACGATATCACCTGCTCCGGGCAAATTGCAAACCGCGGCTCTCAGAATTTCTTGCGCCGGGTGGGCCAGATTGGGATCCATCAGTACGAGTTCTAGCGGCAGGCTCTCCACTAGGTTTCGCACCACACCCGTGTCAGACCCATACAGTGAGGATAAGAGCGAATTGCACCGGGCGGGATGCTGCTCGAAATATCGTCCGAATTCGGATTGCGATGCAAAGTCACCCGTGAATCCAACAAGAAGCTGCAATTCGCAAGAAAGCCCCTTTAGCAACCACCCCATGCTATGGAGGTTTTGTACTAGCTGGTCCGGATCCATAGCCTTCGAATCAACCAGGGGCATTCTCAATACATTTTCTGTCCAGAAGTCGACCTCGCGAAGTCTTTCGGCGGTATATATGGCTACTTTTATGGACAGCGGGTCCCTGGTCTTGATCAGATTGTGCAACCGGAAGAAGATTTCAAAGGACAATGCCGAGATGCCCGAGAACCCACGGGACATGTCGTTGTGCTCGAGTACGTCAAGGATGGCGTCGAAACAATCGCCGATGGCCCCCGAGTAGCGGCCGCATCCCGGCTTCCAGTTTCCGTTCGTTGTATTACTCGGGAGGCCGAGCAAGACCTCCGCGAGCCCGTACTTGGCAACGGCCCCGGTGCGGAGTTCCGACAGGATCCAGTTGAGGATCAGTTCTAGGACCTCTCGGTCTCGCTGGCGGTCCGCGTTTCGCGAGGATATCAGAAGCCTGTCGGCCATTGCCTTGGAAAAGCCGCTGGCTCCGGCCCCGTCTCCACTTAAAGTGCCCAGGGTCGTCCGCGGCGGCATCGTTTGCTGCATTCGATAGATGATCGAGAGGGCCGCCGCCGATATTTCCGTGCACTGTTCCTTGGATACCGCATCATAGCCCACGTACTCGACGATGGTCGAGCGAAGGTACCGGGAATTTCGGATCGAGAACAAGAGGTCGGTCAGACGAGAAACCTTCACGTCTCTGGCCTTCATATCGATGGCAAGGGCGCTACCCGATCCGGGTTTGAGTTCCTTGAATTCGATGGTGGGCACCATCTTCAGGGGCTGTTCCTTCGCGGCCATCAGGGCCTCAACGAACCGGTCCTCCCGGATTGCGGCAGCACACAGAATGTGCAGGGCCGAGGTGATCGATGTCTCCCGCCACAAAACCGAATTGTCGGCGCAGTGGTCATCGACGTTTGCGTTCTGGAATCTCGGAGAAAAAGGCTTCAGCAAATTCTGTAGCGGTTTGGTCGGACCGTTTTCCTTTGCTCCTTCTTTTGCGCTGTTCAGGTCCGGGGGTGTAGAGCTGTAGAGGGCGTAGGTCATGTCCATTTTGTCGGACTCGTCGCGAAAGACRGAAAGAACGCCGTTCGGACCGCCGCTTTCCGTTAGCACAACAGCCAGGGATTCCAAGAGGACCCCGCAGGAAGACGAGAGGAGCTCGACAAGCACCGTGAAACCGGGCGACTTGGGCACTGGCACCGAGGACACCGACGACGAAGACCCCGTGTAGGTCTGGTTCGTTCCGGGACCGGGAACTTGATGGTTCGGATCGGAAGCGAGGAGGGTGGAAGGTGCCACCAGGCTCTCGAAATCCTTTGCGGCTTCGTTCCCGTCCACCGTCTTGTCAAGCGTGGAGCGCACCCGATCGGCGACGGCCTGTATTCCCAGCACGGAACGTGGAGAAGGCGTTTCCCCGGCTCGGCCGTTTTGCGGCCCGGTAGACGGGGGGGGATCGTACCGAACGAGGACGGCTTCCACGACCGCCAGTGCCTTCGAGACGAGCCTGCTCCGGTCCCCCGGCACGCGAAAGGGAAGCGCCGSGTGCTGCTTGACTCCCAGTGCTTTTGGAAGGACAAAGTTTGTGACGTATTCCAGGTACGGAGTGCATCCGGTCCGCACGCGCCAGTTCCGCCCCAGGTTGGAGGGGCAGCCCACCGAAGAGACGAGAGACTCCAGCAAGTCGAGAAGTCCCTCCGTCGACGGATACCAGCCCTTCTTGGACTCGATGTGGTCCATTTCGTAGAGCAGGCCGTACATCGGGAGTTTCGGAAAGGTCGATTCCATCCGACTCGCCGCATTCGCCAGCGCCATCGAGGAGGGAGGAAAGGCCACTCCCGCTTGGTCTTGGACGTCCGTTCCGGGGGTTGGGACGACGCGATACCGGTCCAATAGGTTGATCGGGAGAAGGGAGCACGATTCTAGGTATTCCCAGGCATTGTTGGCCTGTTCCTCCATAAAAGATCTTGCCTTGGGATCTCTTGTGCCCCCGATCGGCTGCAAGAGGCTGGCGATGGTGCTCAGCGTGGCACCGCGCATCTGGGGAGAAAGGGGGGCGATCGCCAGCTTGAAGAGGACCACCAGGCACTCGTCTCCACCCGCGGCGGGGTCTCCCTCGACCAGGGGCAGATTGATCGACAGAATCTCGTGCCGTGCCTCGAAGGAGTGCAGGCCAACGTTCATGACCAGGGCCAGGTACGACGCCAGCTGGAGTTTCGAGTCCTCCGACAGTTCTTTCGGCTTCATCGATTTCTTGGACGAGGACGACGAGGAGGAATTCGTGTTTCTACCCCCTCTGCGAGACCGGGAATCGCTAGACGGGTCCGGCATGATGTTGCCCTCCAGGTTGTAGTAATAGGAGGTGTTGCTCTTGGAATTCTTCGCCGCAGACGGCTTGGAAATGTTGTTGTCGTTGTTGTTGCTCAGCTCCTGCACGTAGTATCTCAGGCTGTGAATCAGCGCGTACCAGCTGGTGACGCCCGGAGAAATTCCCTCGAGGCCGGAACCGCTCCCGGACATGAGGTCGTGGACCGCCCTTGCACTCTCTGGATCGTTGGACAGGGCCGCCATCCAGGAATGCACGTAGGGGACGAGAGAAGCGTCCTGGGAGGCCTGGACCAGGCACTCCTGGAGGGGTCTGCTGGGAACAAGCGCATTGGTGGCCTTGTCCCTGGCCCAGAATATCCGGGAATAGTTTGGTCCGAGGGAACACAGAACCGTGGCCAGGGCGATGAGGTCGTCCAGGCACTCGTGGCGTTTCATCAGATCCACCGAAGCCGGGATCCTTTCGCGCTGCGGGGAGGTCCTCCCCAGATACATGTCCAGCTGGGCCAGCTCCACGTACTGCTCCCTCTGAAGCTTGAGGGTTTCTTCCTCCCGGACCTGCCACCGGTTTCTTGAGATCGGCAGGTTTCCGGTCCCCTCCGTGAGAACGCTCAGGTAGAGGGCGTACATTTCCGAGACGACCGAGAGGCAGAACTCGGAGACGCTGCAGGTGGTTCGCACCGAGGCGCTCTGGATTTTTTCGAGGGAGGGGACCAGGGTCAGCCGGCAAAAGGTAAAGGCCATGAATTCGGCGGGGATCTCCAGGCAGTAGACGGCCGCCTCGCGAACCTCTTTCGAGAGCGAGCTGTTGGATCCACCCTTGGTCGGGGACACGATCGCAGAGGGCGTCAGGCGCAGCAGCAGGGCGTACGAACAGGCCAGCAGCCCCCAAACGTCGGGCCGGGCCCACTGCTCGTGGGCCCCGGGTTTGAGCCGGTCGTGGAGCTCCTTAATGTTTTCGAGGGACGGCCGGCTCGGATGCAAGAGCTGGTTCCCCCTACCAAAGTCGTTGGGGCCGTGGAGGTTTCGGTCGTAGAGTTCTTGCCGCGTTTCCATCGCGGCCATGGAAGCTACCAGGAGCAGGGAACAACACTGCAGGAGCTTTGGTTGTCCCGATTCGCACGTTTTCCGGACGAGTTCTTCCTGCCACTGGAGGGGATTCTTTTCCTGTCGATCCCAGGAGTATGGCTTGCCCGCGGAAGGTGGCCACTGGGCACCTCCCCCATACGGATTGTAGATGGGGTTCGTTGTTCCGTTGGTTCCCGGCGACGAGGATTCGTAGGCAGAGGGGACGTCCGTGAACGGCGACAGCTTTGGTGTTTTGGCCGACAAGTCACGAACCAGATCGATCAACCCCGTGACCTCCTTGACTTCGAGCTGCGTGTGGTAGGCGATAAACACGAGGGCTTCAGCCGCCGTCTGCCGTTCCAGTGTACAAAACAACAGGTGCACTCTTGCGAATCGGTTGGTCTCTTGCTGCTGTTGCTGTTGCTGCCCTTGCACCTGCTGGGCTCCCCCCAGGAAACCTCCCCCGGCAACCGCCGGGATTCCTCCCGCGGTCGTTGCAGCACCGTTTTGTCCCGCACCGGCCCGAATCTCCTGCTGGAGTGCCTCGATGCGCTGGGTGTATTCTCGGATCACGGAAACGAGGTTCGTTACGAGCTGTCCTTCTTTGAGCAAGCTGTCCGTGGCCCGGATGACGTCCGGGTTGTTGTGCATTCGTTGCTCGACCAGATAGAGTATTGTTTCGAGTCTGAGATGCCGCTCGTAAAAGTAGAAATCCCGGGCGAGCTTCGTCACCTTGTCGTACTTGGCACCCGGCAGGGCTTGGTCCACGAACCCACCTCCCCCGTCGGCGGTCCTGGACGTCAGCAGGCCGTGGAGGACGTCGGAATCCCTCGAAACCTCCGCGTAGAGGGACAGAGCATCGGCCTCCGAGATCCTCAGCTCCGTGGAAAGGATCCCRATTTGTTCCATGGTCGTGGCCGTGAGTGTTGTGGTCGTGGTGCTATCGCTGCTTGTGCTGCTGTTGTTGCTGCTCAGAGCCACCCTTGGGTTCTGCGCCAGTTGCTGGCGAAGCGCCGTGTTGGGCGGCGTCCATTCGACAACCCTGGGTTTGAGCGTGGTGGCAGCATGCGTGGAAATGTAGTGCGCGAGGTCTTGCCCCGCCAGGGACATGGTGCCCGCCTGTGTCTGTCTCTGCGTCTGATGTTGTTGTTGTTGTTGTTGTTGCTGCTGCTGCTGCTGCGCAATAGCGGTCTCCGTGCAGAGCTTTCGGATCTTGCTCCAGAGGGCCAGGTTTTCGAAGGTTTCGTCAAATGCCGGAGCCGTTAGGGCCGCCTTTGGGGCCGGTGCTGTTGCCAGTGCGGTGCTCGAAGCAGGGGCGGCCGGTGCTTGGGTTGCTCCGCCAAAGGAAAAGGCCGAAGGAGCTGCCGCTGTCGCTGCCGCCGCCGGCTTGGGAGCCGCGGCACCCCCAAAGGAGAAGCCACCGGGTGCCGGAGCGGGCGCTGTGGAGGCTGCCGGGGCCGGCGTGGGAGCAGCCGTTGCCGCTGCACCACCGAACGAAAAGCCACCGGGTGCCGGAGCTGCCGCCGCCGGCTTGGGAGCCGCCGAGGCACCCCCAAAGGAAAAGCCTCCTGGGGCCGGAGCGGGCGTTGTGGCCGGCGCCGCGGCGGGCTTGGGAGCCGCCGAGGCACCCCCAAAGGAAAAGCCACCGGGAGCCGGGGCCGCGGCCCGTTTCGAGGGACTCCCAGACGAGGGAGCCGGGGCTCCGAAGCTAAAGGCCATGTCCGAAGTTCTCGCTCCTCCTCTCGACAAGACCAAACCACCGAGCTACCGAGGGCCGCTGCAAACCATAGAAGTTGGTTGTCTCTGCTGGATTGGATCGTATAGAATAGAATAGAATAGAATAGAAATGGATTGGATTTTGATTGGATTTGGATTGGACTCGGAGAGACTGGCGTAGAACGAAGCAATGTGCTATGAGTACGAGTACGAGTACTAGTCTTTCCTTCTTTCACTCCGGTCCGATGAAATGCAAGCTCGAAGAGTTACCACTGCCGTACGTAAAGTACCGTACKGCAGCTACGGTATCGTACGGCTCGCATTAGCCCTATCTAATTTTGTTTGGCTTGGTTTGATTGATTCATTTTTAAAAAAAGTCTCGATGGTTTTTCGTACGAGATTTGACCCCGTAGGTTGTGTAAGGAGCCTGCCGTACGAGTTTTCGTAACTCGTTTTGGGTGTGTTGCGACTGCAACCGAGGAACTCGTGGTGGTGATGTCCGGTCTCGGGCCAGGCTTCGTACTATTAGTATGATTAATATATACATACGTATACAGCCTGCGATCGATTCCGTTGGTGCGACGCAATCGGCACGTGCGGCACTCGCGCGGCCGAACCGATCTCAGGAAGGGTTCGCCCCCGGGCCGGTTCGTTCCATGGAATTCCAATCAATTCGATTCGCCAGCTGCTCCACCGAACTGTGTGCTATAATCAACCGGATGTCGTGGTGGGTYCCGTTCGGTGAGGGAGATTCCATATGTTGCGTTATGTACGGGTATAGTCAGTAGAAGCCTAGGCAGGAAGCCTTGTMGAACCCCTGGAAGGCTTCCCATCCCCGAACTAGTAGAGTACACTACTACCTCTAGGTCGACGAAGAAAGGTACGAAGAAGGTAAAACAATACTCGTATGTGCCGGTTTCGCAACCACTGTCATTCAATCTGGATTTATAACTGACTCATAGGTTCTCAGCATCTGTCCCTTAAGTAAAACATACGGGTCTGCATATGACTGAACGAGAAAAGCTTCAGGAGCAGCAAGAACACCAAAGAAGGAACYAACGGTTCGGAATTTGAGTTTGGTGTTCCAGCATACAATATGCAAGTTTTGCATTTAGTAATCCCTAGCACTGATTTCGTTCTGCGCTTCTTCTTTKYAGTTCTTGKTGTAGATAAGGAACGTCAAGCTCTATTGCATGAAAAATGAGAATTCGTAGTAACGGAAAATAACAATTCGAACGAGCGCGATGTATGTTTTCTGCCACGATTCTGTTCCTCGTGTTTTTTTAATGATATTTTCTGCTTCCCCAAAGCTTGAACTTTCCTTTTTGCGCTTTTCTTCACTATCTCACGTCACTCATAATATTGACATTCTGTATTGTAAATCGTTCCCGTTCCGTGTTTCAAACAAASGCCCAGACGTCTCTTCACACCACCAAACCCCAACCGAGACCTCTTGTAATTCGCTAGACCGACCGACTTTTTGCACGYGCCATTTCTCGTTTCTCGTTTCGAACCTAGCACTACGCACTACGCACACACAAAACACACCACGCCCCAKTCTTTCCCACCACGAACATGAACGAGGGCAAGATGATCATGGCACTCACCGAACAAGAGAAGATGCGAGCGGCCGCCAAGCTCCACCTATCCACCGGAGAGGCACTCCTGGCTGCAGCCGGAGGCTCCGAGACCTCGTCGCTCTTTCCCCAAGAATCCTCGGTCTTTGGCCGGAACGCGGGGTACTCCTCGATGGYCAACCCGATGGCGGCCAGGGGACTCCCATCGTCGATGTACGACGGCCTGGGATCCTCCTTTACGGACCGGTCCCTCCTCATGGGAATGTCGAGCGGAATCTCCAATCCGTCGAACCCCCTCTCCGACATGGGAAACAGCCTGGGAATGGGAGGCATGGGAAGCATGGGAGGCATCGGAGGGATGGGCGGAATGGGAAGCGTCTTAGGCCCGGGCCACAGGGACCTCTTCTCCGGCGCCGACATCCTCTCCGCCGTCGATCGAAACCAGATGAGAATGGAGCGCATGATGCTCATGCGGCAGCGGGAATCCATGATGCTGGCGTCGAGGGCGGAGGCCTGGCAGMTGGGAATGAAGATGCGATCGGTCAGCACCTCGGTCGTGACGCCGGGCAGCGAGCTCGACAGCGAGAGCACCCTCGCCGCCCTCGGAAACTCGATGCGGAAGAAGTCCTCCCCCTACATCGACGCCTCGGCCATGGCGGACCCCCCGGAGTTCGAGCTCGCGAGGCGCCGGACGCGGGGCGGCGTCACGGAGCCCTTCCCCGAGAAACTCCACCGGATGCTCCTCGAGATCGAGAAGGAAGGAAACGGGCACGTCATCTCCTTCTTTCCCCACGGCCGCGCCTTTGGGATCCACGACTCGGACGCCTTTGAGTCGAAGATCATGCCCAAGTATTTCAAGCAGTCGAGGCTCAGCAGCTTCCAGCGCCAGCTGAACCTCTACGGGTTCACCCGGATCGTCTCGGGACCGGACAGCGGGGGGTACTACCACGAGCTCTTTCTCAAGGGGAGGCCCGCCCTCTGCACCCACATGCGCCGGGTGGGCATCCCGAAGGGRGTCGACCGCCGGAAAATCAAGGCCACCCTCAACAARAAGGAGCCGGACTTTTATTCGATGCGGCCGAGCCTCTGATTGGGACGGGCTCGCTCTGGCTACGCTCCCGGCGATCCGCTAKGGCAGAAACACGGGGTTCCACGGAAGCGCTACCACGCTTTCGTACAACAAATGTAACAASTTCTACTACTGTACTAATCATTTAWATTCTGCATCATTTAACTAAACTAAAACGAAACCTAGAATCTACGACGAACAATCAACGCCTCTAAAGTAGCAAGAACGTGAATGCATTTGCTGGCGGMCCTATTCCTTTTGGGAAAGGGTWCGAACACTCACCWAAGCCACGATAAGAGGTTGAAAATTGYAAGCTCACCGGTATTCGGAAGCTGCGAGTAGCTCTAGTWTGTTGAAGGTGCGAATTCGATACGCCGTCACGTGAACAGGGATTTTTCGCGAGAAATCATTCAAAAGTGTTCTTTGGATGGGAGTGTGTCGTTCTTTGATACGTTGGGAGGTTTAATACTTAGAGCTTTTTTTGGGTCTCCTGTGTTCTTTCCGGTGTAACTGTAAATGACTTTCCCTCCCCACCACGCCCTCGCAAACATTCTTCTTCCGGTTTTGGAACGGGATTGGCCCAGCCTTGGAGAACTCTGGACCCCTGAGCGGGCAATGCACAAACCCGTCTTGCTTGTTTTCTAGGAACCTTTCTTCTCTTTGATCATTTCGTAGTTCTAAAAACGAACCCGTKGGTTCGAATCGCTTTCCCGGAGAAACAACGCAATACTGTTCCGGAATATTGCATACGTTACCCGCAATTCCATTTTTTGTATTGCGAACTTCATATCAGAAAAAGGAACACTCTAGAAGAAGGGCAAACAGTCATAGTAAAAATTTTACTCTTATTGGAAAAGGAATGTAACATTAATTAGGTTTGTCATTGAAACTTATGTAAAATTTATMTAGCCCAAACAGGATAATACTTATCGCACCGCACTCAAATTGCTTCTTTAYAGATCCAATCCATATTGTAATAAGCGTATGAGTATGGTATGTGGCACATAACCGTTGACAACTCCACGTGTAACCTAACTCAGCTGGATTCCTACTTCACGAAGGACAGACCGAGAAA